TTCACGGCTTTGTGAAACTCTGCTTGTAGAATTTTCTAATTAATTATAAATAGCGGAGTTTTCTTATAAAAACTCTTCTATTTCAATATTATTAAGTTATAGAAATAGGAAAAAAAGACTTGCCGTAAGGTCTTATTTATAGACACGGGAAAATGAATGAATGAATTTTGATTTGCACATTTTTCGGCCTTTCCAAATTTCAAAATCTTTGATGAATTGGCTTGGATTTTAATCAGGAAGGGTCTAGTGTGATAAAGTCTATTTTGCTATTGGTGACCTCATCGAATACTTAGTTTTAGTGGAATTGTAGGAACTAAAGACACCTGGTTGAAAATTGGAATGGTGTAAATTGATGCCACGGGTGTCTTCAATACACAAACAATTTTGTAGAATATCCCTTTAAAATATACCTTTACCATATTAATGGCCAATCAAGGCATCACCTATTGTCATTACGTAAAGGTTTATTAGAAATGGAATACCAGGCGATACACATGGTAACGTGATATTCAGGTAGTCTATCTATATTGACATTATCGTATTAATTTATATCACAATACACCAGTTTTATCAGTAACAAAATGTCAATATCATACTAGGTGTGGGTGGGAACTGTTAGAGTGTGGCTGAGAATTTGGAGGGTGGTGGGGTGGGGATATTACTGAAATGCTATACGTCGAATCTTCAACATTTGTAAAACATTATTACAATTACTAATATGAAATACATTAGTCTAAAAGACCAAACGCACTTCGCATAATCATCCACTCTAAAACATCCAATCCCTTGCCCAACCTGTTATCAAGTCGAACTTTTTAGGCGCTCCGCTAAGACGAAATATCGGGATGTCAGAGACTAGCTGTTCTGGACATGATACCAAACACCGGTTCTTCACAATTAATTTCCATGAACACTTTCATCAGTTGTCCACTTTAAATGAACAAATATGGGGGATGAGAACAATGGTCGATATTTCAGGCAGTTCAATATGATTACGTGATATATCGCAAAAATTCCAACATCCAAGATGCTAACTCGACCGGAAGTGACACATAAAGCACACAAAGCGGAAGTACATTTGATACATCACCGGAAGTAAGTCAGTTTGATTTGTTAATGTCGTAAAAGATCAGATTTCTGTTTATTTCAACATGTTTCGGACTAGATCAATAACAAACGTCGTGAAATTTTGAATGACACTTCCGCTATAAATTCGAAACCAACACGTAAATCTGCGATCTAATATGAATAATAATAATTATACAGTGAGATTTATTGACAATAACTTATAATGTACTCTTAGTCTGGCAATCTGGCAAAACTATACCCTACCCGATAGCAAGCTGCGTCAGAATGTTACAGGAACCCTCAGTGATGCAGGTAAGAGGGGCTGATATGGACAGTTGGAAATATTGGCAAAATTTCCCTCATTGTAACCTCCATGGTATTTAGCTTCATTAGCCCAAATGGTGCACAAAAGAAGGACGTAAAACTCCATTCATTCGATATCTGATATACTCTTACTTTTTGATAAAACTTGTATCCTACCTACCCTTAGCAAGCTGTGTAGGCAGATCTACCCGTAAAAAAGATGAGTGTCTATCCCTAAATTTGTGGCGTTTCTAGCAAACATCATGTGAGGGGGTGCAAGCAGGGGCCACAAAATTTTCCAGGAGGGGGGGGGGGCATTCTTTCATTATGTAAAATGATAACAAAATTTTGAAAGTCCCTAAAGCACGCTGCGTCGGCATCTTGCGGAAACTTTCCGATAGAAAGAGAATCCTGTGTAATATCTGGTCCTTGGCCAAACGTCTTGGCGTAAAACTTTAGTGGCTTATCCGTCCCCATTGACAGCTAGGTCGATTAGAATTAGGGGGGATGGTTACTTATTGAAGATTTCCCAGACTCTCTCAAACCTACCGAGATAAGAACTCACCACCACCATTTCTCCGACAAGCAATGACATCATGTACCGATTCCAAGACTTTAATCAAGTATGCTACAGACCGTCCCCAAGAGCGATCACGTACATGATCAACCCTGAACTAAGAGTATGATTGTTGAACTTGTCGTAGCGGATTTACTCCGTACGATTCCGAAAGATCGACATTAATTTTCATCCCAGTGTTGGTCATTTGGTCACGTAGTCCAATAATCTGGACATACATGGACAATGTTGACAGAACTCGCTAAATAGAAGGATGAGACACATTCGTCTAGTAAAGGTTTGTCTTCGAGAACCAATATTATCCATAGTATAGTACAAAATATCATTTGGTGTATATTTGTACATTTATAAATTAATGGGATTGTAAAAAGGTTTTCTGAAGTTTTTAATGCCAGACGTCTGTGGGCCCTGCTAATATACATGTAACCTTACTCCAACCCAGGTATTGTAAAAATGTTTTCTAAAATATTTATGTTATCCGGGACATTGCCAGCAGCGTTTTGTACCATTCCTACTTTCAGTCAGACAATCTGTGCTTCTTGTGAATATACTTTACTCAAGACCTTAAAAGTATTGAACAAAGATTTTCTAAACTGTTTATGTACATGTATATCAAACACTGATATTAACAGTTTGTACGGTACTAATTTTTAGTCAGACATCTATTATTCTTGCAATTCTACGAAAACTGAGTATTTTATAATGTCACTATCGCCAAAGCTGATAATTTATCTAAAAAATAGTTTTAACCCATATATAGGCACATATATGTACTCAGTCCGCGTTCAGTTGTACGTTTAATAAAACTGTTTTAACAAAAACTTTTATCTTCCATGAAGTGACCTCTGATTTCCCTCTGAATATAACACTGTTCAATACAAAACAACAACAAAAATACGCGACGGAACTTGTCGAAACATTTTGTTATATTAAACGCAAGACTGCTTTTGCTCTTTCTCAAACTTATTCAAACCCTTTTCTACGATGAAAATGAAATTCATCATTAAATAAAACTTGACAAGATCATATGAACATCGTTTTTTTATTTTGAGATTTTTTAAACTTGTGAATTCAAATAAAAAAAACTTCCAAGTTATTTTACACTGAATGGTTGGATATTAATATAATTGTCGGCAATCAGACGATACAAAATTTTACATATAAACATTTTTGTGTTGTAAATTTTAAATAGGAATAACTTTCTATTTTTTTCAAGTTTTTAAGAAAATTGTAAGAACTCTATTCTCAAACGAAAACAAAGACCAACATTTTAAAACCGAAAAAAAAAACCTAATAAATATTACGAAGTAATAATATTAAATGTAATTTAGAAAATTGTAGGAACTCATTTTCTAGTTTCTACCAACTTTCAAAATTTGAAAAAAAAGAGAAAAACACACTTACCTATTTTGTATTCTAAACGAAAAACTAAACGTTAAAATAAGACACAGAATTTGTCTGCAAAACTTTCTCCAAAAACTTGAGAATAGTTTTGGTTCCAACGGAGTCTGATTTGTGGATACCGCGAGCTTCAAGAACCGTCAATATGTCCCTCACTTCTGATAGTCACGAGCTGAAATGAACGATTCCAAGTAACGTTTGGAACTGGAACATATTTCTTGGACTCAAGAGGCGTATTTATCGATCATCGCTTGACAAGGGGAAAAGTCAGTCAACGCCAGAAACGGCAACTTCTGTCATCTCTCATCAATCTAAGGGAGTTTTACGTCAGATCCGAGGGTGTTATGTGGTCCAGCCTGGACCAAACGAACACGCCCACGACTAGGGAGGAGCGATTCGGCCATTGAGACAAACATCTCGAAGAAAATACGAAGTTATGTATTTTTTTTTAACAAAAAACCTTGGAGAAAATGAGAGTTTGATGCAGTAGGGGCTTTCTTTTTCTTTTGTTTTTTATAATTGAGAAGGGAATTCATTCGACAACTTCGGCAGATTCCGTAATCTGAATATATACAGACAGCTATAGTGGAACTTTCATTGCAGTCGGTTCGGCACATCTTAACATTAAGTGATTTGTTCAATCATTTCTGTACCTATATTAATACCAATCCTCTGAAAGAGTCAGGTCAACGAACAATTTCGTCGGTTAGCATAATAATTAAATTTGACCATCTATTTCTTATATACGTCCGGTTAGTGGTTAGTGTCGTAGTCGGTTAAAAGTTATCTAAGCCTTCTCACAGACCAGAAGATCGGTCATTATTCCTCTATATTAACATAGAAATACTTTGCTAAGCAACTATAGGAATGTTTGCGGTTTTTATCTTTTTATAATTCAATTTCAACAATTCCAAATTTAACTATTAAAACTGTGAGTTCGTGATAAAGTGTGAACTTAAAAAGAGGGGTCGTAATTATTCTATATTTACAGTTAGGATAAGCATACACTTAGACCAGGCTTAGATAATATACTTATTATAACTAAGTTTACTGCGAGCATTGACCGACACTTGTCATTTTTAGCAAAGGTATATCTCAGGTAGTCCTACCCACGGGAGATATCATGAGATGTTACACGGACCTGTATCTAAACGGAGATCTCGGTAAAGGTATATGTAATTTGTCCATGGCAGGGGGTCGCGGTTTCTGAAGTAAGGACCCGCATCTACCCGGATTTCGGGAATCTCAGCATTATAGATTTTCCGATCTCCCACGGCAGCAAGTATTGGGATACCCAAACTAATTCAAATTTGATTACAATTTTCGTACCTTTTTTGTTCTGATATTTTTGGTCTACATTGTAATCTAAGAAGTTTTCTACCAAAAGCCTGTCAACGTTAGTATTATTAACCAATCAAAGCCTGTCAACGGTAGTATTATTTACCAATCAAAGAGTGTCAGGTAAATCCTGAATCTTGATAAAATAAGGAATTGTGGGATAGCGAAACCCATAGAGGCTGTCATATTGCACTATTTTGGTACAAGTACAAAATGTAGACGGATACCATGGCTAAAATCGCCCTCTTACCCTATGTGATATCTATGAATTTAATACCCCCTACCCTCGTTCATCTATTCTTGAATTACTTACCCCAGACTAAGGTACCAGCACAATGGAATATTAATAAACTACTCATTGTGAAATTTACCTTTGAACACCTTGATCCTATAGGAATATCAAGCCTTTAATGATTTTTTTCAATTCCATTATTAATCACAGTTCCAATAGATCCTGAAAGTCTTACAGATTGGTTTAATATCAGAATAATTGAAATTTAATCAGAGTCGGTAAAGCAAACAAAGAATGTCCTTGTTAACACTGTAGTATTATGTCACTGTGAGAGATTTTATTCTGTTTATGACAAAAGCTCATTCATGCTGATGAAACGTGTGTTTTAGATACACAATATTCATCAGGGCGACTAGGGCAGGTTTAATTGCGATAAACTAAAGATTGATTCAAGCTAGCCAATTAAGTATATTTTATCAATATGTTTCATTATTTTTTTAACTAAAAATATCCTCTTCTAAGATCGTTAATTTCAATATTTTTTCTCATTAAATATATAAATATTATTAGATGGTGTCCGACACTAAAATCGAACGCAAACAAAATGATAAAGACCATTAACAATGACCTGATTGGAAAGCATATTCACATGATCATCAATTGAAAAGTAACATTCCAAAACTTATTTTAGAAAAAACGAACAGGAAAATCGAAAAACTAAACAAAATGGGATATCGTTAATGAGAAACAATTTCTAAAAATTGTAAAAACGAGTAGAAATTAATAAGCAAAATTTAAAAAAAAAACTTAAAGCAATCATTAATTAAAAACAGAATTTTTAAAAAAATTCGAAAAAAAAAATATGGAAACAAATATTTCGGCAGTAATAGAGTAGAATCATATACTGATTTCCTGTAATTATTTCTCTAATTTTACGATTTGTTCAAGGGACATTACTCTCGACCCAATAGTCGGCTTCCTTTGATGTTTTCTCCGAAACTAATCTATCGGAATCATAAAATATAATAATGGCAAAACAATGTCGCAACATTGATTCTGAAGGAAAAGTTAAGTAACTAGGGTCGTCTGGGGGCCAATATAGGCAACTCGTATATTTGGTGATCTCAAATTCTTAATAAATAAACCAAGTAGCCTAGGCTACCAACGATCCGAATCTCAAAACGAAACCTGAAATCCACACAACAAAGGCGAAATGTTGGTAGCAGCTAATGAACTTTTCACATGAGGAAGTAAGCGCGTGAGTATCTAGAAGAGTAGACATAGGCTACCCTGATTACAAGTTTATATAAATTTAGGATGTTTTATCTGAAAACTGTTTAGGCCTAGGGCTATATCACTTAGGAACTGGTAGGGTCAGATTTGTCGCACTAACCCAAATATGACAAATATTTTGGGGTACTTTGTTTATATTTAAGGACATGACATAGGGTGGATGACATGCAATCCCTTACCATGTACATACATTGGCGCCGCCATGACGTAATGGTGGCCTTAGAAACCGACAAGAATTCAATATGGCGTCTTAAGATTTGTAAGTAACTTGTTGAACAGTGTCTGAATCTAGAAAATAACCCGATTACATCCACCGCTAAACTCTTTATCAAAACAAACACTTGTGGTTTACAGCAGATGAGTAGCGATTGGCTTAAATTCTCTAACACTAAGCCTTTAATTGGTCACTTTTCGACTCGCAGCCATCTTGGATTTTGAAGATGAAAGAGGGTTTGGTTGTCAGAGGAATATGGATAGAGTTTCCTTTAGTTTCTTCAATCGGATGAGATCTACAACACACGATGACAATTATTTAAGATATTCTTTACCAAAACTCTTATTTGATTTGTAAAGACATACATATTAGGAGAAGTCTTGTACGCATGACATAATGGGCTTAGGCCTACGACTTCCGTTGCTTATAGAGTCGTTCCCACCAACTAGCCTACCTACACCTGATCGGGCAAATGGAGACTGACAACACGAAGCAGTGCACAAAGTGGAGATTTAGCCCTTTTCTGCATCTGATGGACGGACAACTTACAGTGTGCAACGAGTGGCATTAACCTATTCTAAGCAAATACAAAGCAAATGAAGCAAACAAATGGTTTTCCTTATTTTCATTTATAATTATATTTTCATAATCATATGAATAGAAAGAAGGGGTTTTTTAATGACTTGGAAAAATACCAGTTTGTCAAACATGTCAATAAATAATTCATATTAGAAGAGAATAATCAGCAGAATTCTTTTTGTTTATCCAGACTGTACTTACATGGACATTTATGATGGGTTTAAACTCTTTATTATATGCAATAAGAACATAATGATATGATTAAGAATACACGATAATTCATCAGAAACACCAATTAATCAAAAAGTTTACTTAATTTGACCCTAAAAATTAAGGAAACTCGTTTTTAAAAGGAGTAGGCCTACATGTAAAAAAATTGAAGCCCCGTTTACCTGTGACAAACAACACAAAGGAAGGGCACCTTAGATAAATAAACTCATAGAATCATTAGCACCAGTATTGAACAACTGATTGCAAAACATATTTTAGATATCCGCAGGAAACTCAATGTCTTCACAATTTCAAGCTATTTCGATCTGCGTTTTATACCTTGACAAGAAAGTCAAAGTCAAATCCCCATGCTAAGTGCCGAGTATAGCTTTGATATGAATTAAGTTTATGTCAAACTGTTCTGCACCTAATGGGCTAATGACAACGCCATGCAGTGTGCAATGAGGTAAATTTGCCAGGACAGCGGCAGTAGCATTGTCTTTTTCGATTGCCAACTGTCGATCTTCGACGTTCACAGCCCACAGTAGTTTTGAAAATCTGTGTTGAAATTAATGCCGCACGGGGGCTGGGTGCTGGTTCCAAAGATAGGAACATCCAGCCACTCACTGGAGCATAAAAATACCATTATGTGAATGCCGTTTCTCAAGTGGTGTAAAAACGATTCACTTGTTCCCTGATAACAATACGTGATCTTTGAGAATTTTTATCAAATTCATGTTAAAATGTGGTCAGATACCTAATGGCCTCCGCCTTTTCTTATCTCCAAGGCCACGCCCAATTTAGCTATGATTATCCCAGCCTCTTGGCATGTAGGTCAATTCCAGTATGTGGGATAATCAGTGTATCAGCTGCTAACAAAATAATTCAAAAAAAAAAAAAGAAATAAAAAAAAGCTGCTAACTGAATGATCAGACTATAGAAGTGACTTCAATTATCTTCGTTAAAAATATACAAAAATAAAAACTGTTTACATCAAGTGTGGAATGCAGACCGCGCCTCTCTGTCTTTGATACGATCAACAATTCAGAAAAACTTATATATAAACCGTTTACATACAATGAGTGGGCATTATCCTTCAAAAGTTGGCCTATTATCTGTATTTATGTAACCATCTTTGGCAAAAAATAGGTAGAATTTATATAAAACTGTAAAAGGCAACGATAAAATTGATGAAAAGTGGCAAGTGTCCTTATCACTGTATCCCCCAGTGGTGTTCCTAGGTGCCAAACAATTTTCTAAGGGGTCCACAGGCTATTCTTTCACTATGTAAAATATTGGGGGCAGGGGGGGGGGGGGGTATCCCCGTCCTTAGTACAAAAACTGTACCCTATCTACACCCCTCAATATTCATATCTTAGCCATGGAAAAAAGAAAATGTAAATAACAAGTACGCGCTCGATCTCCATTGCTATTCAGAGATAATTATGAAATAATTTAGCGGGTTTCCTAGTTGACATCTAATTTGATCTCGTGACAGGCTTCGGGCGTATTCATTACTTGCTTCATTGGCCAAGACTTGTCTTCCTTCCATAGGGAATTCGTTCACCCTACTCTCATGCGTTACATGTAAGTCAATGGAAGTTTACGCCTGTTATTTTGAATATTGACGAATTATAATGGTTGTCCTTCGACTTTCCTTATACAAGGAGATCAGTCGTCTTACACCAATAAGGCAGTACAGTACAGTCACATGTAAAGGAATGTTCTGAAAATGGGTCTCTTCTCATTAAGATTGGGCTATCGAAGGTGAGCAACGCCATGCGGTGTTCAAGAGGGGAAATTTTGCCAAGATAGACATAAAAAATCACGAGATATTACATTTAATTGTAATACATTCACAGTTGTTTCAATACGTATAACTAGAACCAATAAAATTACCATTCTGAAAGTTTACCCGTCCCCCCGGGCTCCTCAAACGCGCATTCACTCCTCCCCTGGGGCCTCTCAACGCTCATTTCACCTTTTCAGCCACTTAATTCTTCCAGCAAATCGAATCAATTATTATGGCATTTTATCGAATTATAGCTTTTAAAGAATTATTAGCCTCGCATGCGAAAATTTGATCAGAATTTTTCAGTCCTGCTACACTTTGTGACAAACGATCTACAATGGTGTCTGTGATTTGCCAACTACCCTTAACACACTAATATTTGACATATTGACATTGTTGCTATCCTTTTATGGCTTTTAATTATATTCATATTTTAGACTTAGTTACGTTATGCTAAAATAAACTAACTAAAAGACCTGAGAAATGACGTCCATAATGGGCTAGGGGGTTCGGGAAGTTATCTATAATTAATGTAACCCCTTTATGTAGTCTAGCTTGGGGACGGGGATATCACTATCACCCGAGAGCATAATTATCCAAACTACTTACTCTGTTGGCTCCTGTCCCTTTCACCGTCGAAGGCTTCTTGTTTACGTTCAACTTCTTGACATCTCGAAATTAAACATAACAGTAGAAGAAAAACGGCTATCGACAGAATCGCGAAATAACCGGGAGTACATTTTCAACGAATGTGGTACAACTAACGCGGAAATCGGACGTAAAAACTCTCAAGATCAAGAGTGACAAGAGCGTACTCTCTGAGCAGTGTTTTCCCTGATAGAAATCAGTGTGCTTGTTGTTATTCGTTTAATTCAAGATGAAATGTAAAAAAAAACTTACATAAAACTTAAGTGGGAACTATCCATTACTTGGCCTTGACCATTATAAACGAATTCCAACCAAAACTAGCTAAATTCTCCAACACCGGCCATGTTGTTTTGAATGCTCGCGCGACCTCGACGGACGAACACGGGCGTGTATCACGTGACGACATTGTAGTCCAAATTTACCAGACACTCGGCAACTCGACACTAGAGTCGATATGTGCAAAAATCTGCTCACACCCTCCGGCAAAAGAATCCGAAATCATTAAAAGCGCTAAGAATAAATGCAAGTAAAAAAGTAATTTTTTGAAGCCAAATAATGTCCTGCTCGCTTTTACATCATACAGTGACACACTGATTAGGGATGCTTATGCATTCAGAACACCCCTTTCACCATTTAACGTTTTTAGAACGCAAAAACGATGGGAAAATGACAATAACATAAACTGACTAGGCTAACATAAAATTGATGTTAAAGTCGGTATGTGGCAATTTACACACACCGAATGTTTCAAGGGAATCCCCCATGGAATGGACGATGACAAAATATGGTTAGTGATTTTTATTGGTTTAAATTCGAACCACGTAATAGTTTGAGCATTAAAACATTTTCTAGCTGACTGAATCAACGAGTTTTACATCCAAATTATACATGCAGTAACAATTCAATGTCAACAGAGGCCAATCCATAGGACCATGTTAATATTTCTTTATTGAACTTGTAATGGCTTTAGATAATGCATTGGTAAATCGGTCAATGTATTTATGCACGTTCTGAAGCGTTGGTAAATATAAACAAGATGACTCAACTGGACCTTTACCAGCTCCGAGATCACCTTCCAGAGGCGGATTAACCTATTGGCAAACTAGGCAGCTGCTTTTCGGCCCATGGAAAATTCGGCCCGTGGCAAATTTTGTGAAAAATATCAAACAGTTAATAAATTTCTTATTTGTCTTACTAGGAGTGTGATGTGTGAGAATCGACTAAATTGTTTGATGAATGCCGATATCGTGCATACGATTGATGCTGATGAGCTGATTGATCTGTTCCTGAAAAACAAAAATCGCAAACTTCCTGCCATAGAATTGTAATCACACCATGCCATAAAATCTCTTAGTATTGATTTTATAAGAATGACAACTTGGGTTCACGAGGATCCTGTCTACCAGCTAGTCCTTGATCAAATCTCTTAGTATTGATTTTATAAGAATAACAACTTTGGTTCACGAGGATCCTGTCTACCAGCTGATCCTTGATCAAATCTCTTAGTATTAATTTTTATAAGAATGACAACTTAGGTTCTCAAGGATCCTGTCTACCAGCTGGTCCTTGATCAAATCTCTTAGTATTGATTTTATAAGAATAACAACTTTGGTTCACGAGGATCCTGTCTACCAGCTGATCCTTGGTCAAACCTCACAGTTCACATTAACAAAAATACTTGATCGTCCCCTTAGAGAATGTAGAGAATTTATGTCCCGTTTCTAAAAAAATCTTACGACAAGATTTTGTCGTTAGTATGAATTTTAAAATTAGAAATACCAAACTTATGACAAAATTGATTCCAAGATTTTTGTGAAACGGGAGGAAGACTTGCGACATTTTTAATTCGCCCAGCAGGATGCTAATACCACCCTCAGGACAAATCGATGATTAATGCATGCAATAAAATAACACAGTAACTAGATATATATCAGACAATAGACTGATTGTTTGCTTTGCTTTTTAGGCTTTAAGCGCCAGACAAAAAATGATAAATGAAAATTGTAAATCTATGTTGTTGGATAATTTGATACTTTTAGCTAATGTTGTTATTATTTATTGTTTCAAACACTTTGTAAAGGTGAATAATGCTATAATGCATTTCATTAATGGGAAAACGACCGCAATTCTTATATGTTCAAGTTTGCTGTCGCACTTTTTCAAACGGTCCTTACCTTGAAAGTTCCTCTTCCTCTCTGCAAAAGATTCGGCTTTACGGAAACTGAGGCCTGCCGATTGGCTCTATGCATGGAAACTACCAAAAGTTGGCGATGTATTTGTAAAGCTAGCATTCGGTAACACTCGGCAGATTACGTGAAGCTGAATTTGTTACATGTCTACAAATGACGACGTAATTAAGCAAATGACGTCATGTCACTCAAAGCACTCTAACCGATTAAGCTACATTCTACCCTCAAAAATTGCAAATTGAAGTTAATGGATGATACAATTATAAAAGTAAAGCATAAAGTAAATTCGTAAAAATAAAAATAAATTAACCAGGAGACCAGAAAACAATTCAAGCTTACTCTATTTCAACTCTATAAAATCGATTTGTCCCAATCATTAAAGAAATCGAAAGTAAACCGGAAGCAATGTATAGGCCTTCCAACCTAAAACACGATTTTGACCTGATTAATATAAAAAATACAGTCATTTATTAATGTATAACTAGAAAAGGGTGTACAATGTTAGAATTTAACTCAATAATCAGTCAAGTAGTCGTCATAATTCTATTCTATTTCACGTGTTTTATCAAATATCAAGTACTGGTAAATTATGTTGACGCTTTCATTGACAAGAGACAAAGAATTGTAAGATTAAAGAGCGGCTGCATTAATTTCAGGTTTTGCCTTAAGAACAAAGATTTTATCGATTTGCATTAAATAAAAAAACTTTTATTTCATATCTTGTAAAAATAAAATACATTAAACTTAATTCAATTTTAATATAAAATTTTGGAATAAAAAGAGGACCTGCCACGTAGTTATGCTAGTTTGTGTTAATGTAATTTGTAGCTTAACGAATGAGCATCAATTTTTTTTTTACAAGGAACACAGTAGTGTTTGTGATTAATTCTGGGACTAAATGCGTCACAAATGTTCCATCTCTGCTATGTGTATGAATCATTATCTCAGGATATTTGTTATTCGAAAAAAAGGAAGAGGTCCCAGCTTAAACAAAGCCAACGCACGATGAAGTGTCTGTAAAGGTTGTCGACATTTTCCGTATTTTATTTACATAATTAAATAATTATATATTTCTATAAAAGCTGTAAACGGTGACATTTCACAACGGATGTAATCCATCTTTCACAGCTGACCATAGTCCGAAACATCTCCCTCTATTCCAGCGTCTGATAAGATATTTTGACCAGTTGACAACTTTCAAAAAAATCTATCAGAGGTAGATTACAGTTGATGGCCATGTTTGGTGACAAATGGCGAACTGTAATATATTGTGTTTAAGGGCAAACTGTCGAGGCGAAAACCCCTGTGTCCAGGCAACATGTCGCAAAGCTTGTAAATTTATTCTAGAAAGTCATTAGACAATAATCAATTGAACTAAACAACATTTTTTTCTTAAAATTTAATTACGTCAATTCATTGGAACTGTAATATAGCTACAGTACCCATATCCAGGCAACATGCTGGAAAGGCTGAAACATAGCTTGATAAATTCTATACATAGGATGTAAAACTTCATTTCATTTGCTACATTGGTGTTAATTTTCACACGGAAGTCTTAGATCACAGTTTATAACATACAATGTACAATTTCATTTATTACGTCTCATTTTCAGTATCAGGAACCATTTCTACATTATCTTTATTAATAACACTTTCAATTCTTCTCACTTTCTCACCTTTTCCTGCTAAAATATCTTCAATATTCCTGAAATTCATTTATTAGCAGAGAATAAAATTGTTTTAAGTAAGGGACTCGTATGTGTTATGTCAAAGGACCCAAAAATACTACAGGCTTGCCCAAAATTTTCATGACCCTACATATTGTTGAAGGCTGAAAAATGAAAGATGCTCACCTATAATCTAATCAATGCTTCAAAAGAAATTGTCTAAAGAGCATTTTGGATAGATTTTCAATACTTTTCAAAACGAAATCAAACTCAAGCAACATAAAAGTCTGTATTTCTCCCCAGAAAAGGGGAGGTAACTTACTTGGGATTATCTTTGTCAAACCAGCCTAGATTATCAGCAATAAGGTGATTATTTTGACAAGTTTGACAAGTGACTATCACCACGCCTTTAGTGTACGCTAATTTAGAAAACGTCTCAGAACTCCGCGTTTTACAAATAGCACACGTATACTGGATAAACATATTGGTTTCTAATTTCGCCAATAATTGTTCGTCTATTTCTGGTTTGGGAGGATTATCAGAGTTTGAAGAGCTATATGAACGCTTCGTACTGATATTGTGGGGATAACTGCAAACAGATGTAGGAACTTTTGTTACACTAGACGTACACTTTGAGTTTTTGCGATTTGAAATGTTTAATGTCGAATTCATTAGTCTGTTTTGTGTATTCACTGTTGAAATGTTACTTGAAATGAGTTTTTTTGGGGATGTTTTGGTAGAAAATCGCCCTTGGTGATGTTGTGGTCTGAATCCTTTGAAGAGAATGTTGGTTCCATGTTTCCATAAGGTTTGAAGTTGGCTTGCTCTGGGAAACATTTTTGAAGAGCAGGAATTGTCCTGAAAAGGAAATGTAACATTAGATGGGCGAGTGATAGGAGTTCAGGCATATGAGATTATGGAGAGATTTATCTGCCTTTAAGAGAAGATCTATCATGTATTTCAAAAGAGTTAGCAGCCCATTGACAACCCTATAGCGGACTAGATTTCGGATTAAAAGTCAGCGTATCGGGCTATACTAGTCTTGATAATCACGTCTACCATGTTGGCCAACAAGTTCAAGAACAGTTTGAAATCTCTGAATTACTCCAAATTACGATATTTCTATCATTCCAGCTTCTTGAAGGATTCGGAAGGAACCAGACAGGCGTTATGTAAAAGTTATACAACCTCATCAAATAAAGGTACGTCGCTTTCTTTTCATTTAACTGATGCAACAACTTCGATATCATTTGTTCGGTTTTACGATCAAAGGGAAATAACTCTTCTTCAACTTTGGATTTTATGGACAGCAATCTTCAGCAAAATGTTGATTTGGAGTCAATAATTTTTTTGTATTAAAATTTTAATTTCCTGCATTATAGACTTATAGAATTAGCCCAAATACATAAGCCATGTGGACTCCCTGAAATTTGAAGTTGATAAACCCAGTCTCATAGTGGCATAAGGTGTTTGTAAGAATAAGCATGCTGTCTTATTTAATCCAAATGGAAACTTTTTCTATTACAATTCTGTATCTATAACAAGAGGATCACAATCAAGTTTATAAAAAGGTGTTAAAATTCTGGATTAAAAAAATATATCCATTCACTTACACCATTAATTTTCTTTTGTAAATAGCCAATGAAGTCCAAAATGACGAGTTTCAAGGGAGAGAAACCAACTATGACGAGTTGTATCCAGGTCATATTAAAACAACCCTTCTGCAGAAAACTTTGTTAGCTGTTGGTTCAGGAGTAGCTGCTATATTAGACCCTTCCAGAGATGGTAAGAATTTTTATAAATATGATGTTTGTAGTAAATCATTTAGTATTGAAACCTAATAATAATGATATTTGTAGTAAATCATGTCATATTGAAACCTTACAATAATGATGTTTGTAGTAAATCATGTAGTATTAGAAACCTAATAAATATGATGTCTGTAGTAAATAGTTTAGTAAGAGAAAGCTTAAAAAATATGATGTCTGTAGTAAATAGTTTAGTAAGAGAAACCTAATAAATATGATGTTTGTAGTAATTCATTTAGTACTGAAACCTAATAATAATGATATTTGTAGTAAATCATGTCATATTGAAACCTAACAATAATGATGTTTGTAGTTAATCAGGTAGTATTACCAATAGTTAATCAGGTAGTATTACCAAAACTTAATAATAATGATGCTTGTAGTAAATCATTTAGTATTGAAACCTAATAATAATGATGTTTGTAGTAGATGTTTTGTGTAAATAATGAAATTTTGTTTCAGATATGGTGAGTGCGTTTGGAGAAACAACAGGATATCTGGCGTTAAAAACATTACAGTCAAAGATGTTGGCAGATCCAGTAGGAAGACAGATCCTAGAGTATGTATTCTTTCTTATGGAATGGAAATGAAGCTACAAGCCCTGCGAATTTACATTTGTTGCATGGGTTGATGACAATCACATCATTCATTGAGAAATTTAGCTAACTTGCTTACTTTCTATTATGTCCAGCTGATGAAGGATCTTTATATAATTTTCTAGAAGGTGTTCCCTTGTACATGGTGTAATTTTTCTGATTCTTGTTTTAGAGAAAGACCAGTGATAAATTCTAAAACTATAGATATAGACTATCTCAGTCAACTACCAGATAATACATTCGGCAAACAGTACTGGAAGTTCTTAACTAAAAATGTAAGTCTGAAGTTTTTGGCCATTCCCTTCACCTTTGAAAACCTTTAATGTGAATTTTAATCTGTCTGCACCTGCTTAAAATATTCATTTGCTGTAAGAATAAAATTCTTACTGAACAAATTTAATTGTTGACAACTGCGTGAGTGATTGGCTAAAACCAATCCTCAAACACAAACATGTAATTAACTGCCCTTACCAAAAAGCTTGTCACACAATTTGAAGGTGTTCGCTCAATATTCGAAGTAAAATAGAAAGACTCTTGATTTTCCAGGGTTTTTCCCCAGATGCTCGACGTCCAGTTCAATTTATAGATGATGATGATCTTCAATATGTCATGTTACGATATCGACAAACTCATGATTTATATCACACGCTGCTAGGCATGCCCCCTCATATGCTAGGGGAGGTAATAGTTAAAATGGTGGAAATGTTTCAAACAGGTTTACCGATGTGTACTTTAGCAGCTTTGTTTGGTCCTGTTAGACTAGGCACTGTGTAAGTTTTAAAACAATTTAATTAATTAATTAATTCTGCTACAGGTTCATTCTATGTCAATTCACCCAACTGGGTGAACGCTCCAATTTTGATAAAACTTGGTAGAAATATTGTTTATGATGGTAGGGTTAAAATTTATTTTTGTGGGGGGTGAATTGACATGGAATGACCCTACAATGATTAATGTATGTACCTTTTGTGGCTTTAAACCAAGGAAATGAGCCTTTAACAACCTGTGACTTGATGGGTGGTTTTTTCATGGTAGCATCCAACGAAAGGAAAAAGAACTCAAAATTTATTTCAATGTGTCAAGTGCACACCCCATTTTGGGGTAAAAAACTGTGCATTATATTGGGAAATATACGGTAATCAGTATACTTAATAAATTGCAATTAATTCTTACATAAAATGTTCATTCATTTACGTCAGGATCCAAAACAAAAAATACGTTTGATTATTTCTTTTTTAAGCTGAAACTTATTTCTAATTTTATTGTATTTTGCAGACACAGAGAAAAATATTTTAAAACATTCCTGCCGTGGGCGGTTAAAACAGGACGAAACACCAAGTTTCTGATGGCGGTGTACTTTGAGAAACATTGGGAAGATGATTTACAGGAACTCCGTAGAAGTCTGAACATTACTGATCCACCAGCGGGCATTGGACGAAAGATGAAACAACAAATTCCCATTGAAAAAGAGACTTGAATTGACAAAAATAATTTTTGTTGCTCAGGAGAAAAAGAAAAGAAGATTTAAGCGTTTTTTTGCTTTGCTTTGGAGATAAAAATGAGTTCGTTCAATTTTGCTTTGCCTAAGAGTAGAGCTAAACAACGCTATTGTTGGACTACTCCCAATAAACACCAAGTTTATTTCTATGAAATTTCAAAATATAATTTCTACACCCAAACGTGTCAAAATGTGTCTCTTGGGCCGAAACATCCTTCTACCCAATAAGACTAGCAAGTGGCACCCTACTAGGGCTGGGTATCGATTACCAACTTGAGATCAATTATCGACTGCAAGCTATTGATCAATAAAAATAAATAAAAAGGATTCTCATAAGCACAGTGTGCAATGAGGGAAATTTTGTCAGGATAGCAGCATTAGCTTACTCTTTTATCAATTACCGACTGTTGGAGCATGTTTTGAATGTGTGATGTTATAAGCAGACAACAGAATGGTACAACAAATGATTCATTCATGTAAATAAAAGCGAAAGGTAAGCTACTGAATGATAAGAACAATTTTGATTTCAAACTGTACCACTAGACCGTGTCCAACTCGGCTCAACGCCATTTTGACTACAGAAAGCACGCCGCCGCCTCGAGTTTTTCCTCCAGAATTCTGGCTAAAAAGCGACAAGCCAAGGGTTAAAATCTGCTTACAAACCTCAGAGACACTTAAAAGAATGTAATCCAATCTCCTGATTGCCCTGACAGTGGTTTGATTTAGCTCTATCCTCTCTAAACTGATCTAAAATCTTGACTTGATGCAGCAATCCGCCATGTTGTTTTTATTCCTCTTATTTATTTTGTTTGACATTCGAGGCTAAAGGACAAGAACATTTTTGCTGCTTATTGGACAATCAAGGCTATGACCCCCTGTGATTTACGGTCTAAGGGGGACAACTCCAATGAATGATGTCAAAAATCTACTGTTAAGTTTTTTTAATGCCGGGTAATCGTTCGAGAATGAGGCTCATATAGATGTGCGAAACTTGACGAATGGTCCCGCATACAGCATTCGGCTCTTTCCGTATTTCTGTAAATCGTACCTCGGAAAAGAACGAGGATTCAGACTACTCATCATTCTTTTCATTCCTACAATGCATTGCGACATCCGCCTATTTTGTAATGAAAATTATGGCGAATTGAAGCTAATTGGTGCCGAATAGGCTCTGTGACGGCTTGAGTCGGCGTATCTTTGGGGTTATTAGCATGAATCCTGTCTTTTAAAGAATGATTGAGCTGTCTCCTATCCTGTCTATGATGGAAATCAACGCTGAAGTGGAAATTAAACTGTTTTTACCAAGAGACTAATGCCGTTCGGACATTTTCCGTGTTGGCTTTTTTTTTTTAAAAAATGTTTTGAAGAAAATCAAGACTCCACACTTTGACAGTGACTCTGGCACACTTTACGCTACTTCAGTTTAACGAATGGAAAGCTCTTTAATCGATTCTCATGCAAAAAGATCTAAATTCGCGGTAGACTCGTTAGTTTTCTCCTTATTTAGAACACAAGAATAAATTGGCTTAGTTCAATCATTTAACTGTAGGCCGTTGTCGGATTAGTACGGACTTAGTTATCTTTCCCTGTTGCTAGCTCTCAGATTTAGGAGTCAATAAAGGTATATTAAGGTCGTTTCGCCCACTTTGCTACTTCGGCTCGGTTTCTTTAGAAAAGGTAATACAACTTGCGAATTCTTTAATAATTGGCAATTGCAAACGTTTCTATATGTTCAATTTGCCATTTGATTTGGTAGAAACTATCTAAATATCGTTTTAGAGTCGTATCAAAACAAATTTATTTATCAGGGATGAATTGACATAAGGGCGGTTTTGCCTATTAGAATATTGCGTTGTGTGACAATCGAGACTTGACCGTCTATTAAGCTTCTCAGTGTGACAATCGAGAACAGCTTCATGCTGAGACAAGAGTTCTTTCCCTTGAACTATTAAATGACCACTAAAAGAACAAACTTTAAAACAGGGTTTTCTTTAAAAAAAAAAAAAAGAGGATAACACACCATAAATTATGGTTCATGGCGAAGAAAAATATTTGTACTCACCTACCACTGCCACATGGAAGCCAGGGATTCAATAGAAAATGTTGAAATCGACTGGAAAACATTGGAGGTGAAGCGTAACGGGTCTCCATTGTAAACAAATATGGCGGACAGTTTAGAAATTCAATGTTTATATTTATTAAATTGTGAAAATAAGTGAATTAAAGTCTATTCTTTATCAATTTTTGTGTTGATTTTCCAGAGAATATGTTGAAGTGTGTCTCCATTGCTGCAGTAAGAGATGTCAGTGCAGCGGGGGGTCTAAATAAGGGAAACAATGATCAGGTTTTCTTACCTGTAATAGAGGCTGATTTTTTCCAGCTATTAATCAAATCAAAGGACACCACATGGTATATGGGTGTGGATGTTAGTGGTGAAAGTTGTACACAGAACAGTGCATGGCAATATATACATGGAGTAGTCTATTAAAAGCCTGTAGTTAAGAGGGGTGATAGGTTGGGTTATTATATTATTACAATGAGGCAATAATATGACACCCATCAGTTTTTATATCGAATGAAATAAAAAGAGATTCAATATTTCTTTGGCTTTGGGGTTCGTTCACAGTACAAGCTGATCAGTATGGCAAAGAAGTCATGGCTATGCACACACGAAATCCTCCATATCAAACGATTGATCTCAGGACGCCCTGATCAGCTAACATGTGAACGATAAACTGTCAAAAATAACCTATAGAGGCTAGATAAGAATCTGTAAATTTAGGGATTTTTCTGCGTGTTACATGCCTTTGTTTGCACCTAACAACGTAACAGCTCAGCAAATAATTGGTTCTTAGGACAGATGAAGTCAGGTTTAACTTGGTAGTTGGGTCTCTCAAAATTGTTTTGAAGAAAAATTCAAGACGTGTTAATTTGAACTAAAAATTTATTAATAAATGAAGAAAAACATGAAGTTAACTTCAGTATCAGATGCCAGTGCATTGGGAGGTCTAAACAAGACTAAATGTGAGGAAGTTCTACACCAATCTTTATTCCATTACAAAAGTTGTACTTTGTTGACACCGTGTTTCTAAGTGTTTTTAACGGAAATCTTCAAAATAATCACTTTGTCAAATAACATAAAAACTTTACAGATTATACAGGCTCTTCATATTTCCCCAAACCCTGAAAGAAATTACAATTTCAAACATTAAAATCTTAATTCAGATCAAAACATAGTCCCCAAACAGGTATAAAGGAAAACACATGGGAATAGCTTGAGGTAGATTCGTATCAAATCAAAACTGCAGAAATAATTTTTTTTTCTACTTTTGCATCAAAGACTAAAATTATTTTATTGTTTCAATTTGGATTGCAATGTATCTGGAATATCCTGTCCAAAAATTATACAAATATATCCATTCATAAGCGTCTGAGAGCTATTTTACTTTTACACTACTTTCATCAAAACGACAAAAGACATAATTATGACGCGTAAAATTCTAAATCAACTATAACTTTCTTATTTTTCTTTAAAATCTGGGTCTGTAAATAGTTGTAAGGTTGTCATTCTCACAAAAACCTTGAAAACAGACAAAATTCAGAGCAAACATTTTTGTTACCTGACTAAAGTTGTACTTTGTTGACACCTTGTTTCTAACTGTTTCTACTGAAATCTTCAAAATAATCACTTTGTCAAATAACATAAAAACTTTACAGATTATACAGGCTCTTCATATTTTCCCAAAGCCTGAAAGAAATTACAATTTCAAACATTAAAATCTTAATTTAGATCAAAACATAGTCCCCAAAAAGACATGATGAAAAACACATAGGAACAGATTGAGGTAGATTCGTATCAAATCAAAACTGCAGAAATAATTTTTTTTCTACTTTTGCATCAAAGATTAAAATTATTTTATTAATTCAATTTGGATTGCAATGTATCTGGAATATCCTGTCCAAAAATTATACAAATATATCCATTCATAAGCGTCTGAGAGCTATTTTACTTTTACACTACTTTCATCAAAACGACAAAAGACATAATTATGACGCGTAAAATTCTAAATCAACTATAACTTTCTTATTTTTCTTTAAAATCTGGGTCTGTAAATAGTGTAAGGTGTCAT